CTCTGTTAGTAACTGTTTAACATCTTTCCAAAATTTATGGATCTTCTCACACCGCCACCACATATGGAAAAAAGTGCCTATATTATTCTTACATCTCCACAGTGACCGCCGCTCCACACCCAGAACAGCTTCCTGTGTTTTGAGTATGGCACAGAAACATCACATACTCTGCCCACTGTTCACACTTTTTTCTTTTCCTCTGCTGTGCACATTTCTGCTGTCTGGGAATCGACCTCATTCCTCTGACAGAGTGGGCTGGAGTTCAGGAGCCACCAGTGACAGGCGGAGAGATGTTTCTATGTATGTGAGAGATCCCCAGCTTGGCAGAAAAATCTGAAAAGCGTAACTACAGAAAGATGGGTCAAAATCCCTCCAAAATAGCCAATGCTGCAAAGACTGTCTGAAAGGACCGACAAAGAATTCATCCGATGCAAAAAAGCCCACACATTGCGCCTGCAAAAGTGGATCCAGTGAAGAAATCTCGTCTTGCTTAGGCTACATCCTTATGAGGCCAATTACAGAGGGGAGGCGGAGGAGTTCGGGGAAGAGAGCGGCTTGTTGTGAATCTGGTCATAAATCCTCCAGCTGCAATTCTCTGCAGGAAAGAAACAGATACAGGAGAAGATAGGAGGGGGCGGAGGTTCCAGCCTTTCGCTCTCAATCAGTGTAACTACATAGGATAAACAGCAGCTGATGGAGGAAGAAACAGTCTGAAGCATTAAGGAAATGAACTGCCATATCACTCACTAAAGGGCACTCTATATATCACAGAGTAGTAAAGACTGGCCTAAGCCTAGGAAAAGAAGTGTTTGCTAGTTTCCACAAACCTCCCCAGAACCCATACCAAAAGTGCCGCTATGCGCATCACTGCCTGTTGCACTGCCCCCTGGTGTTTTAATACAGAGGTGCGCCAAAATAAAACCAAACCTTCCTGTGCAGCCCTTTCTGAAGCAAAGGAGGAATATTCCTTTCTATCTTCATCCTGCAGTTGCCATGAGAATAATCACAGAAAAAAACCAAAAATGGAGATACACTGTAGGAAATGGCAAAGAAAACAAAGACTGTGTATAAACGGTCAAGAATACTTTGAAGAATGCTCCAGATAGTCACAGAGATTTTATGTAAGTGTGCAATAAACATCACAGTTGTAAGTACACATGGCACAATGCAAAACAAAACCAGTCTCTACAAATGTTATTGAAACAATATAAACAACCTTCTGAAAATGCTGTGAAACAATGTAGCACTGATGTTCCTGCAGGATACCCCTCCAGAGGCAAATAATAAATGTTTACATAATAAAAGGTCCATCATTGAAAGTTTACATCTGAGGAACGTCTCAAAAGTGGGGAAACAATATCTGAAGGTTCCAAAGTTTACTTCACACGATGTTGTTGTTGTTCAGTCGCACAGTCGAGTCCGACTCTTCGCAACCCCATGGACCAGATCCTGCCAGGCCCTCCTGTCTTCCACCGTCCTCTGAAGTTGGCTCAACTTCATGTCTGTTGCATCGATGACACTGTCTAACCATCTCATCCTTTGCCGTCCCCATCTTCTTTGACCTTCAATCCTTCCCAGCATCAGGGTCTTCTCCAGTGAGTGCTCCCTTCTCATTGGGTGGCCAAAGTATTTGAGCTTCAGTTTCATTATCTGGTCTTCCAGGGAACAGTCAGGGTCGATTTCTTTTAGGATTGACTGACTTGATCTCCTTGTAGTCCAAGGGACTCTCAAGAATCTTCTCCAGCACCATAGTTCAAAAGAATCTTCATACGATGGCTAGCTGCAAATGCTGCGTTCTGCCCATGGTTTCTCAGTAGAATGTTTATATGAATCATTTTTGTCTGAAAAATTATACAAACAATCTGAAAGCAAAAACGAATGAAACACACACTGTTAACAAAACACCCACTGTTAACAAATCCAAGAGCACCTAGTTAAAAACCTAGTTAAAAAGGAATGCTTACCTATAATTTTATTCCTGGTCTCTCAGTAAAATATTAATCTGGCAGGCAGCCAAAACAAAACCGTTCTATATTTAAAGGGCCCAACATTTGAAGGGATCATACATCCCTGCTAACACCTTACAAACAGGTGTCTTTCAAACACTATATCATCGGTAAAGAAGAAAATCACAGCTGTAATCCAAGTTTTGATTCAAACCACAGGGTAATAAAGTATTAAATCTGTAAATCATTTTAGCCTCCTGTTGCGATAAAAATTTTCCAACATCACTATCGTTATACGTATGTCCTTTAACTTGATACAAAATGAAGAAATGAAGGGAATCAGGTTCATGATTATGTCTGACCAAAGGATCAACAAGGGAAGCTTCAAAATTGGGGGGGGGGCCATGAGTGCCATGGAGGAGCTGAGGTAGGTCTTTGGCTGCGGGAGCCTTCGTGCCCAGCAGTCCGAGGGGAGGGCGCTCTGGGAGGAGAGGGCGGGGCCGCCCATGTTGGGCTGGCAGGACGAAGAGCAGAAGCGGCCAAAGGGGGAGGTGCCAGGCAGGGGCCGGGGGCTCCCAGAGGTCATTACTGCCGCCTGCCTCACCCCAGGGAGACGCGGCCAGAGCGCCTGAGGGCTGAACCCCCTCCTCCAACTGGGAGCGGCGCATCCTGGAGGCTTCAGGAGCTGTGCCGTTATTCCCCCCCCAAACAAAACCACTCCCAGGCCGCTCCGTGCTGGGGCGTTTGTCGGTTCTTGGCCTGAGGGGGCAGTGGGGCTGGCTCAGTGGGTGCACCCCGAGGGCTGAGTGAGTAGCCCCCCCTCCCTGCCTCCCTCCCTCCCAGCTGCGGGGGGTCCCGTGATCCAGAACCCGGCTTCGGGAGCTCCTGGCAGTAGCGTGGCGAGCGAGGGACTGGGCCGCTGGCTGCAGGAGTCCGTGGGCTCTGGACTCCGAGCAATGTCCCCTCTAAGCTGAGTGAGTGTGAGACAGCTCTCAGTTGTTCAGCCTCCGGCTCACACAGTTTTGTCTTCGCTCAGGAAGGAGGGGGCTCCAGAGCAAACTGATTGATGCAGCAGCCAAATTGCCTGCTCACAACTTGAATGCCAGTAGTAGCTCACAAAGTAGAGTTTTTGGCTCACAAGACTCCACAGCTTAGAGGGAGCATTGCTCCGGAGCTCCATCCCTCCCTGAGCGAAGGGAAACACCTGTGAGCCGGAGGCTACAAAGACAGCGGGCTGGCTCACGCTGACTCCGCTCAGAGGGAACACTGCCCAGGAGGCTGGTCACTGTCCCCGGATCCAGTGCCTCCCTCCCAGCTGTGGAGCAGAAATCCTACTTGCTGAGCTCCGGCCACTGAAGTGGTGGGCGAGGGACTGGGCCGCTGCCTCAGTCCGTTGGCTCTGGAGCCCCATCCTTCCCTGAGCCAAGGCCAAAAACGGGTGAACCGAAGGCTGAAAAAACTGTGCTCTGGAGCCGAGGCAAAAATGTCTGAGCCAGAGGCTAAGAAACCGTGAGCTAGCTCACGCTAACTCAGCTTAGAGGGAACACTGATCACAATGCTCCCTCTCAGCGGTGCAGTCCTGTGAGCAGAAATCCTACTTGGTGAGCTCCTGGCATTGAAGTTGTGAGCGAGGGATTGGGCTGCTGCCGGAGCCATCCTTCCCAAACCGAGACAAAAAAAATGGGTGAGCCAGAGGCTAAAAAACTGGGAGCTGGCTCACACCAATTCAGCTGAGAGGGAACACTGGTTGTGAGCAGAAGCACGGAGGAGGGCCGGAGCCCCTTCCCTCAGAGGAGAGGCTGGAGAGAGTCCCTGGGACTTTCCTCTCGAGAAAAAGAGGCAACAGGGGCGGGGGGGGGGAGATGAGAGAGGGTTGTAAAATGCGAGGGCCTCCCATGAAGATGGTGGACAGTAGGTTCAGGACAGACAAAAGGAAATAGCTCTTTACATAGAGAGGAAGAAGAGAGAAGAGATTGCATTTGTACCTCGCCCTTCACTATCCAGAGGAGTCTCAGAGCGGCTTACAAACTCCTTTCCCTTCCCCTCCCCACAACAGACACCCTGTGAGGTGGGTGGGGCTGAGAGAGCTCTCTCCAGGACTGCCCTTGAGAGAACTTGTGACTGACCCAAGGTCACACCAGCAGCTGCAAGCGGAGGTGTGGGGAATCAAACCCGGTTCTCCCAGATCAGAGTCCGCGCACCTTAACCACGACACCACACTGGCTGATTCCAATGTGGAACTCGCTGCCAGAGGATGTCATGATGGCCATAGGCATGGACAGCTTTGAAAGGGGGTTAGATAGATTCATGGAGGAGAAGTCTGTCAGTGGTTACAGGCCATGGCGACTGAGGAGAACTTCCACATTCAGGGGCACTAATCCTCTGAATCCCAGAGCCAGGAGGCAACCTCAGGGGAAGGCCTCGGCCTCTCTGCCCTGTTGCTGGCCCTCCAGAGGGACTGGCTGGCCCCTGTGTGAAACGGGAGGCTGGACTAGATGGACCCTCCCTGGTCTGGCCCAGCAGGGCTCTTCTGGTGTTCTTCTCAGGGGGAGGCCTCGGCCTCTCTGCCCTGTTGTTGGACCTCCAGAGGGACTGACTGGCCCCTGTGTGAGACGGGAGGCTGGACTGGAGGGACCCTCCCTGGTCTGATCCAGCAGGGCTTTTCTGGGGTTCTTATCAGGGGAAGGCCTCGGCCTCTCTGCCTTGTTGCTGGTCCTCCAGAGGGACTGGCTGGCCCCTGTATGAGACGGGAGGCTGGACTGGAGGGACCCTCCCTGGTCTGACCCAGCAGGGCTCTTCTGAGGTTCTTATCAGGGGAAGGCCTCGGCCCCTCTGCCCTGTTGTTGGCCCTCCAGAGGAACTGGCTGGCCACCGTGTGAGATGGGATGCTGGACTAGAGGGACCCTCCCTGGTCTGAGCCAGCAGGGCTCTTCTGGTGTTGTTCTCAGGCGAAGGCCTCGGCCTCTCTGCCCTGCTGGTGGCCCTCCAGAGGGACTGGTTGAGAGAGGGACCTTCCCTGGCCTGATCCTGCAGAGCTCTCCTGATGTCCCCCTTTCCCTCCCACAGGCTCTTCCAGCGCCCTTCTTCGCTCTCCAGCAGCCACCTCTGTGAGACCAGCAAGCGCCTGCATGGCCACCCTCAACCAAATGCACCGCGCGGGCCGCTACAAGCGGCCCCCGACCAAGCCCGGTCCCACGGACGGACGGCCGCAGCTGAAGGCGGTGGTGCTCAAGACGCTGATCCGCAAGCCCAAGAAGCCCAACTCAGCCAACCGGAAGTGTGTCCGCGTCCGCCTCAGCACGGGCAAGGAGGCCATTGCCTTCATCCCCGGCGAGGGCCACAATCTCCAGGAGCACCACATCGTCTTGGTGGAGGGGGGCCGCACCCAGGACCTGCCCGGTGTCAAGCTGAAGGTGGTGCGTGGCAAGTACGACTGTGCCCACGTCGTCAAGAAGAAGTGAGCTTGCGGGGAGGAAGGCCTTGGGGTGGAGCCCTGCCCACCTGTCACTGCGACGGACTGTGGCTTCCTTTCCCTTCCGGACTGGCATCGTATCTGCCGGGAGGGATGAGGGTTGGGTCAGAATAAAGCAGTGCCAGGGCTTGGGTTTCTCGTCTGGCACAGGCTCGTCCGTGTGTGTGTGTCGGTCTCCCTCTGTCCAGCTCCGTTTCTGTCTCAGCTCCCGGCAACTCCTGTAGTTTCTCTACCACAAAACCTCTCAGCTTTGCTTGTGACTTTTTAGCCAACCTCTTTTAGGGGGAATAGATGGGCACAGCTCAAGGGGGAAGGGGTGCTGCTCTTCAGCGTCTCATAAGAACATAAGAGTGTTAATCACTCTTTGGGTGAAGAAGGACTTCCTCTTATCCGTTCTAACCCGACCGCTCAGCAATTTCATGGAGTGCCCACAAGGAGTTCTTGTATTGTGAGAAAGGGAGAAAAGTACCTCTTTCTCTACCTGCTCTATGCCATGCATAATCTTATAAACCTCAATCATGTCCCCCCTCAGTTGTCGTTTCTCCAAGCTAAAGAGCCCCAAGCGCTTTAACCTTTCCTCATAGGGAAAGTGTTCCAACCCTTTTATCATTCGAGTTGCCCTTTTCTGCACTTTTTCCAATGCTATAATATCCTTTTTGAGATGTGGTGACCAGAACTGCACACAGTATTCCAAATGAGGTCGCACCATTGACTTATATAGGGTTTTCTCAGGCAGAAAGTTGGTCCCCCCCCCTCTGCTGCACGCAGAGCTGCCACCAGTGTTCCCTCTAAGCTGAGTTCGTGTGAGCCAGCTCAGTTTTTTAGCCTCCGGCTCACACATTTTTGTCTTAGCTTGGGAAGGATGTGGCTCCAGAGGAAACTCATTGGTGCAGCCGCCAAACCGCTGGCTCGCAACTTCAATGCCAGCAGCTCACGAAGTAGAATTTTTGCTCACAGGATTCCACAGCTTAGAGGGAGCATTGGCTGGGAGCAGTGTTGCCTCTAATTTGAGTCAGTGTGAGCTAGCTCAGAGTTTTTTAGCCTCCGGCTCAGACATTTTTGTCTCAGCTCAGGAAGGAGGGCTCCGGAGCAAACTAATTGATGCAGCAGCCAAATCACCCACTCACAACTTCCATGCCAGGAGCTCACGAAGCAGAATTTCTGCTCACAAGAAGACTCCACGGCTTACAGGCCGCCACACCTTCCCTTTCCAAAACGTGCCCAAAACAGCCACACCAGCTCAGGCTGCTGGTTGCGTCTGGAGGAGGCACGGGACCTGGGTGCTGGTGCAGCAGCTGATCTTCTAAGGCCATTTCGTGTTCCTCGAGGTTTAGAGAGAAAGGAGTCTCTCCCAGCACCTTCCCTCCATCTTACAAGTTATCTAACCAAAGGATAGGTGTGAAAACGTCAGAGCCCACCCACCTTTTCATCTTTGCCCCAGGCCCAGCCATCAGTCCCCCCCCCCCCGAGGCTACGGATTGGTGCTCTCCTCAGTGCGTTGACAGTGTCCAACACGTCAGTCAGGCTGGTTTCAAGGGTCGTCTGCTGGGGACAGGTGAGCGGACTTGAAACCCCTAGAGAACGATGGGCAGGCGAGCAGGCAAGGCCTGGAGACAAAGGTTTCAATGCGGCTCTTGGGCATCACTTTTGTGCTGGGTGTGCCTCATTTCCCCTTTAGCCTCCTGGGGATGGCCCTGGCCCACGTCTGCCAGGCTGCTTGCTCCTCACCCTCAGCCGGGGTCACGCCAAAGTTCTCTCTCTCGCCCTGATGCGAGGGGTGCGCCCTCCACCACTACTTTTCTCAGTTCCCCCTGACCTAAGCAGCAGTAAAGACTACTTACGGGGGGGGGGGTGGGTGAGGGACAGTGTGTGTGTGGGGAACGGAAAGGTGGGGGCAACCCACCAGTGTTCCCTCTAAGCTGAATGTGAGCTAGCTCACAGTTTTTTAGCCTCGGGCTCACACATTTTTGCCTTCGCTCAAGGAGGGGGCTCCAGAGCAGACTAATTGATGGAGCAGCCAAATCGCCCATCGCAACTTCAATTCCAGCAGCTCACAAAGCAGAATTTTTGCTCACACGACTCCGCAGCTTAGGGGGAGCATTGGCTGGGAGAAGTGTTCCCTCTAATCTGAGTGAGTGTGAGTCGGCTCACAGTCTTTTAGCCTCCACCTCACACATTTTCGTCTCAGCTCAGGAAGGAGGGGGCTCCAGAGCAAACTAATTGATGCAGCAGCTGAATCGCTCGGTCATAACTCGAATGCCAGGAGCTCACCAAGTAGGATTTTGACTCCCAAGACTGCACAGCTTCGAGGGAGCCTTGCAACCCACCCCATCTCCCCTGCTCAGCTCAGCCTCCCAAGCGGAGAGCCTTCTGTCTCTGGCTGGTCCCAAGAGAGCTCCCTGGTGCCGGGGCACGGAAGGCCGGGCAGCCCGCTCCTGCCTGGGGCCTCCATGCAAAGCCTTGCGGGCTCCAGCCGCCTGCCTGGCACTGCTCAGGGGGGCCGGGGCCGCTCCCCCCCCCCAAGGCAGCATGGTGGGAGCTGGTTCCTCGGTCCCTCCACACAGGGCCCGGGGCGCAGAACTGAACAGCCCATGTGTGCTCCACCCTGGGTCTTCTTCATGAGCTTGTACAGCTTGCCTCGAGCCACACACCACCTCCGGAGAGGACGTCTGTTCCCCTGAGGGACCGCTCTGACTCTCAGGAAGTTGTTCCTAACAGTTTGGTGCAGTGGTTAAGTGCCAGTTTGGTGCAGTGGTTAAGTGCGCGGACTCTAATCTGGGAGAACTGGGTTTGATTCCCCACTCCTCCACTTGCACCTGGCTGGATGACCTCGGGCAAGCCACAGTTCTGATAAGAGCTGTCCTTGAGAAAAGAGCAGTTTCTGTCAGAGCTCTCTCAGCCCCACCTGCCTCACAGGGTGCCTGTTGTGGAGAGGGGAAGGGAAGGGAGAATGTAAGCCGCCCTGAGACTCCTTTGGGTAGTGAAGGGCGGGGTATGAATCCTCCTCCTCCTCCTCCTCCTCCTCCTTCTGTTTAGCCAAAAACTCTTGATTTAATCCCAGCCCACCGGTTCTCGTTTGACCTTCCGGGGCAACAGAAAATACTCCACTCCATCCTCTCTATGACAGCCCTTCAAGTACTTGAAGGTGGCTACCATATCACCTCTTCTCTCCAGGCTAAATGTACCCAGCTCCTTCCACCCAGCTCCAGTGGTCTCCAGACCCCTCACCGTCTTTGTCACTCTCCTCTGGACACATTCGAGCTTGTCAACATCCTCCTTAAACTGGAGTGCCCCAAACTGAACACAGCACTCCAGGTGAGGTCTGACCAGAGTAGCCATCTCTTCGCAGGATCTGGACACCATGCTTCTGTTGATGCAGCCCAAAAATCACATTTGCCTTTTTAACTGCCGCATCAGACTGATGACTCAAGTTCCGTGTACAGTCTGCTAAGACCCCTGGATCCTTTTCGCGTGTACTAGTGCCAAGTCTCCCCCATCCTAGAAGGATGCATTTGACTTTTCCTACACAAATGCAGAATTTTACATTTATCTCTGTTCAAATTCACTTTCTTAGTCTGAGCCCAGTTTTCCCGCCTGTCAAGATCATCCTGTGTCTTGTACTGTTTTGCTATCCCTCCCAATTTAATGTCACAAAAGAACATATATTCATAGAACCTATCACCTGCAAATTTAATGAGCATCCCCTCTATTCCTTCATCCAGGTCATTTGTAAAGCTGTTGAACAACACAGGGCCCGGGATACAGATCCTTGAGGCACTCCACTGGTCACTCCTCTCCAAGAGGACGAGGAGCCATTTAAGGGCACTCTTTGAAGAAGAGCTGGATTTGCATCCTGCCCTTCACTCAAGAGCGGCTCGCAATCTCCTCCCCTTCCCCACAACAGACACCTTCTGCGGTGGGTGAGGCTGAGAGCGCTCTGAGAGAACTCTGACTGGCCCAAGGTCACCCAGCTGTGGAGGAATCAAACCCAGCTGCTCTTAACCATGACTCCAAACTGGCCACATCAACTAGTTACAAATCGACCTAACAGTAATAGGATCCAAACCACATTTTACCAACACCAAGGTTAAACGGAAACTATGCCCTAGCAGGATTGATATCCACTGAGCATTGAAGAGGAGATTGGATTCATACCCCATGGCCCTTCACTACCCAAGGGAGTCTCAGAGCGGCTTACAGACTCCTTTCCCTCCCCCCTCCCCACAACAGACACCCTGTGAGGCGGGTGGGGCTGAGAGAGCTCTTGACAGAAACTGCTCTTTTTTCAAGGACAGCTCTTGTCAGAGCTACGGCTGGCCCAAGGTCATACAGCCAGGTGCAAGTGGAGGAGTGGGGAATCAAACCCGGTTCTCCCAGATTAGAAGAAGAAGAGGTTGGATCTATACCCCATGGCCCTTCACTACCCAAAGGAGTCTCAGAGCGGTTGACAAACTCCTTTCCCTTCCCCTCCCCACAACAGACACTCCCTGTGAGGTGGGTGGGGCTGAGAGAGCTCTGACAGAAATGGCTCTTTTTCAAGAACAGCTCTTATCAGAACTATGGCTTGCCCAAGGTCATCCAGCAGGTGCAAGTGGAGGAGGAGTGGGGAATCAAACCCAGTTCTCCCAGATTAGAGGC